AGGACTTATAGACTTAATGGTAAGGTCCTGGGGAGTGTTGTTGAACAAAGACAACTTGAAGTTGCAGGTTCATATTTCCTTGAAAGTTGAGTCGCAGGAAGACAGGATAGTGAAGAAGACATTTGATACGCTTGCCTTTATTAGTCAGAGTATTGAGTATAGGAGTTAGGATGTCATGTTGGGCTGTACAGCATATTAGTTTAGCCACTTTTGGAATACTGTGTACAATTCTGGTCTCCCTGCTATGGGAAGGATGTTGTGAAACTTGAAAGGGTTCAGAAAAAATTTCCAAGAATGTTGCTAGAGTTGGAGGGTTTGAGCTATAGGGAGAGGCTGAATAGACGGGGACTATGTTCCCTGGAACATCGCAGGTGAGGTGTGACCTTACAGAAGTTTATAAAATCATGAGGAGCATGGATAGGGTGAATTGTCAATGTCTCTTCCCCAGGGTAGGCAAGTCCAAAACTAGTGGGTTTAAGGTGAGACAGGAAAGATTTAAAAGGGACCGAAGGAGCAACATTTTCACGCAAACAATGGTGCATGTATGGAATGAACTGTCAGAGGAAGTGGTGCAGGCTAGTATAAAGACAACATTTAAAAGGTACCTGGATAGGTACTTGAATAGGAAAGGTTTAGAGGGATATGGGCCAAATGCTGGCCAATGAGACCAGATTAATTTAGGATATCTGGTCAGCATGGACAAGGTGGACAGAAGGGTCTGCTTCCATGCTGTACAGCTCCCTAACTCTATGCCTCTGTGACAGTGACATCAGAGGATCTCTGAAATTTCACTTGTTTTGGTTGTCATATCTGTGATGCTCCAACAAATAAAAACAAATAGTTTGAAGTTTCAACATTGTATAACATTCAATCTATACAGATAATCATTATGACTCCTAAAGTCAAATTAACTGCTTCAACCCATAATTTTATCACAAATTCTACAAGAATATACAATAACATCAATAACCTGCATTCATTTAGCACAATTAATGTAATAAAATGTCCTGAAGTGCTACAGAACTACAGAAGGCTGTTCTCAAGCAAAATTTGACACTGACTCACATATAGCAACATTTGAGCAGATTGCAAATTCTTAGGCAAAGAAGTTGAACGCAAACTGTGTCTTAAATGAGGAAAGGAAACAAACCTCGTCAAGATCTAGAGAGTGAATTCCACAGCTTAGAGATTCAGCAGTGGAAGCCATATAAACCAATGGTGAAACAGTTAAAATCAAAATGTTCAAAAGATCAGAATTAGATAAGTGCAGATATTTCAGGTGGTTAAAGGCCTGGATGAGATTACAGAGAAGGTAAGGGCGAGATCATGAATTGCCTTGAAAACATGAATGGAAATTTTAATATTGAGATATTTCTTGATTGACAGCCAATGTAGATCTTGCACCAGCCTCCACCACTTCCTCTGACAGCTCATACTATACATGCACCACCATGTGCATGAAAAATTTGCCCCTTAGGTCCCTTTTAAATCTTTCCCCTCTCACCTTAAACGCATGCTCTCTGGTTTTGGATTCCCCTACCCTGGGAAAAAGACCTTGGCTGTTCACCCTATCTATGCCCCTTATGATTTTATCAACTTCTATAAGGTCACCCCTCAGCTTCCAATGCTCCAGGGAACATAGCCCCAGCCTCTTCAGCTTCTCCCTATAGCTCAAACCCTCCAACCTGGCAACATCCTTGTTATTCTTTTCTGCACCCTTTCAAATTTAATGACATCTTTCTTACAGCAGGGAGACATGAACTGAACGCACTACTCCAAAAGTGGCCTAACCAATGTCCAGTACAACTGCAACAAGACATCCCAACTCCTGTGCTCAATGCACTAACCAATAAAAGTAAGTGTACCAAACGCCTTCTTCACTACCCTGTCTACCTGAGCAGAATCAAGTAATGTTACAGAGGTGAAGATAGGCAGTCTAAGTAACAGTTCAGCTCTGCCATGAAAGTTCACGCCAGAGTCAAATATGACACCAAGGCTGCAGACAGTCTGGTTCAGCATGAGACAATTGCCTGAAAGTGGGATGGAGTCCAGAGTTAGGGAGTTTGTATCGGGACCAAATATGATGATTTCAGTCTTCCCAATGTTTACAGTCAGATCAGCTCAAATAAACTAGTAAAATAAATTAAAACTGTGGAAGAACTACAGAAAAACATGTCAAAGAAAGAAAAACTAAATGAATTGCCAAAAAGGTAGCCAAACAACAAAGGAATATAGAAAATATTAAAAAATAGAAAAAATAAATACTAAAGGAAAATATGTGAGAAACAAACAGAGAAAACAAGTGGTCACTGAAAAGCTGAGACAGAAAATTCAGAGATGGAAAGAAGCTATTTGTGGAACTGGATGACAGCTGTAGAAATGCAAAGAAATTCTGAAACTGTTATGCGGAATTTTCTGGTATTTGATCTCTGCAGGAAAGTTCAGAGGAGAGAGAACCACGGTCTAACTTGGTCAGAAAGTCTGTGGAATCATATTGTAATAAGTTAGTTGACTGGCAACTGGAGAGTTTTCCGCCAGAATTACAAAGCCATTGTAGGAAGCTCTGCCCATCTAAAGATGCTGGCCAATCAGACTCCACCCTCTCTGGACCTTGCAGTACATAGCAGTGGTTGTGGATACTCCTGACACATGACCACCTACATCCCCAGAAAGGTAATTTTTTCAGGAGTGGAGGTCTGGGGATTCAGGAAACTACAGAAAGAGGGGCCAGCAGTGTCAGAAGCAAAGGTGGAAGTGGCTCTTCAAAGACTTGTCCAACGGAATTACTGCAGATGGAAGCTCCCTCATCCCCAAACTGAGAGCCCACCCATATTGATCGACAACTGACATAGGTCAGCTCTTTCTCATGCTTTATGGAGCTTAAGTGATTGCAGCCCAGGTAGGATGAGACTTTCTAGCAGTTGTGATTTGACTACTTAAGGCCCTTAATTGGCAGTGATTGGGAAGGTCAACCATGTGCTTTCCTGCCCAAAATTTAATTTCAGAGGTGGCTGTAGGTGGTTGGCTATTTCCTCACTGTAATCTCACTTAATTATCTCTTCTTCTCAACAACCACCATTGATATTGTTTACCTTCCTCTTTCCCTTAAAACTTCTGCTCCGTTACGTTTCCTACAAGTTGATTTCTTCCTTAAATGTGTCCTTCTCAGTATCTCTGCCTCTTCATAATTGCATTCAACAAATTTCTTTCATTCACTCCAACATTTCATCACTTGTTATTTTCTCTGTCCAAGAGAATGTTTCTTTTTTTCCTCCAAATCTCTATTTTGAAGTTATTTACCTGGTTGCTCACCTCCTGCTGAAAGGTCAAAATCTCCCATTCATACAAAATAATGCTCAAATAAAGCACTTTACAAGTTACATTTTGAGTTGTTTATTCAGCTTTCCATTTCGCAACCATCTCTTCTTCCCTAATATGGTCTTTCCATTACTGTTCTTGTTCTTATTTCTTTGTTGCATCTTCCATTGCAGATATTCTGCTGGCTAAATAATTCCATTTCTGAACCTGTTCTGCTTCTCTTCCTTCTCTGAATATCTGAATACTTCTTGGTGATTTTGAGGAATACAACATTTTGGTTTTGACAATGTCTATTTTCCTTCCAAAGTTCATGTCTACTGTTAATATTCTACTTAGCAGTTCTTGTAATTTTTATTCGGGTTTACTGCAAGTGCTTTGTCATCCAAGGGGTGTCAGTCAGCTCAGTTGGCTCAAGCCCTCAAACAGCTGGTTTGTGATGCAGAGTGAATGCTAACAGCATGGGTTTGATTGCTACACCAGCTGAGGGAGCCATGAAGATCCCACATTCTCAACTCATCCCTCACTTGAGGTTCAGTAATCCTCAGGTTAAAGGCATCACCCGTCATCTCTCTCTGATGAGAATGAAGCCTACGGTTCTCTGGGAATATGGCAATTTTACTTTTGCCATCTGAAAATCTAACTGATTTTATCAACAATTACATTTAGCAGGATGTGAGGCTTTTCATGGCATTTTGCAAACCAATATGTTCTGAAGGATTGACACTCAATCTGTGACTTTGTTAATGACTTTATCTGAGCTATTAAAAAAACTGCATGCGATAAAATGTTTGATCTATCTCCAAGATCATGTTGATTGGCTCAAAATTCACCAGAGCAAGGAATTAAAAAGGACGAATGTTCTTAGCGAATCATTGAGTGGTGTTATCTCAATTATTATTGTCAAAAGTTTTTCTTTTACTCACTTGTCCCTCAAAGGAATTCAAAAAACATTTAGATACCAGAAATGTTTATGCTATATATCTATTTAATTTCTATCTTGCCATCATTTTAATAAATCTTCTTTACAACTTCTACACTCACCCTCCTCTCATTTAGTGTACTAGCCCTGAGACTTTGATTGCCTCCATACCTCAAAGGTCTCTGCATTGTATTTTGAGGATGTATGGGACCTTGGCTTGGCATTTCATTTGAAAAATGTTAGTACTTGTTCGATACTGAAGCATGGATTTTATGCTTCAGTCTCTGCAGCAACACTTAGAGCCACAATCTTCTGACTTAGAGCCGAGAAAGACACTGCTGAGCCAGTTTCACAGTGTTGTACTGGTAAAGCAGTGTGCATTGTGTGTGTGAGACTTTGGAGTCTACCAAATTACATGCAAAATCTTAGTTTTAGAATTGCTTGCAACAACTGAAATTACAATCTTAATGTGACTATCCTGGTTGCTAGGCATTTTTTAGATTCCATGTGTATTCTTCTCACTGAAATCCTTGATTTATTGGAGTGATCTTTAAAGCTGGAGAAACTGACACTTTAAAATGCAATTTTAAAAGTTCTGTTTCTTCTTGCATCATTACGCAGTGTTGATATTTTTTAATTCAAAATGTTTTCTCCCCACTTCTACCCTACTTGCAAATAGATGAGAAAGATGAGAGATATGGAAATTACATGTATTGTTAAATTCCTATACCCTTTAATCTCCGAAACTTGAAAATGTTCTTACCTCATGAAAGAACCCGGGTTTCTTCTTAAGTTCTTCGCATTTCCTCTGTTTGCAGATCTGATGTCCAGTCTTGCGATTCTTGCAATTGCTACATTCCCCACAATTATCTTTCTTCATGCAAGGATCACATACCCCACAGCGTTTGCGTTTCTTCTTTTGATAAACAGGTGTATCCACTGAGCTCAAGACCGGAGTTTTTAGTTTAGATGGCATCACGATGGTGTCAACATCGCAGTCCTCATAGCTAGACTTAGAATACTCATCGGTCAGTTGGTGATCTTCAATTGTTGCGCCGCTCCCGAAGCCGTCTTCAGATGTTGCCTTTATACAGGGGGAGCTGTTATCTGCGTTAACGACCGGTTTCGTTTTCTTCAGCATTGCCTTTTTTGTCTTAGGGAAAACAGAAGTTATAGCAGCAGATGAAGATAACACGGACTTCTTTGCGGATTTATTTCTTATCTTTGAATTCTGGACGTCAGCCCCAACTAATACTTTTGACTTCCCGATGGGCTTGAGGAGAACCGGGCCTTCAGTTTGATTTACAATAGAGTGAAATACGAACTGTCTTAGCGATCCTGCATTAGAATTTCCAGATGCGTGGACTAAGTTTCCATTCAGTTGATTAATTTTCCCTGATTTCACACTACTGATGGCCAATGGTTTTTCCACCAGATTAAAATCTTCTTTTATCCACTGCCCGTCTTTATCTGTTAACGTACTGTTAGGGTATTCTGTGGAGTCGAGCATGTTCAAACACAGTTTTCATCATCTAGAGCACCTCAAAACAAGTATCAGTGCTTCAAAGTAATCATCTGAGCCCGATTTCTTCCACAAACGTTGCTTTTCATCGTGGTTGCTTTTACTTGGATCAGGGACCTTGTTCGGAGTTCGGCAAAAGCTACGAAACGAAATAAAATAATATGACTTAAACTAATGTTTGATTTCAATTAATAATCATAAATTGAAGTTGAGAAGAATGAGGGGTGATCTCGTCTAAGCATACAGGTCTCCGCAGGGTGCGTACAGAAAGGATGATTGGGCGGGGTTCGGGTGTTGGAGGATGCTGTGACAGCCACCGAGCATAGTCTCAGAATAAGGAGCAGACCATTCAGAATTGAAGTGAGGAGGAATTTCTTCCCTCAGCAGAGGATGAATCTTTGGAATTCTGAACCCAAAGGGGCAGTGGAGTCTCAGACCATTAGTGTGTTCTCTCATCTTTCTCATCAATTTGCAAAACTCAAATTGATAAGATGTCTACATATTACCAATATAAAAGGATATAGGATAGCGCAGGAAAAAACGGTGTTGAAGTAGAACATCATCCAGGATGTCATTGAATAACTGGGGCTGAAACTCAAAAGACTTAATGATCTCCTGTTCCAATTTCTTAGTTTTCATATCAGGCTTATTCTTATGAAAAGATTGATGAAGGGTACCTCAATTCTCAACATTTTTGATGATTCAACAACTCCATATCTGTGCAGCACATTGAACATGGTTGATTCATATAAGAATATCTCAGTTTGCAAGACACAAATCGTAACACTTGGAGAATGTAACTGGAAAACAAATAAGATTTTGTCCTTTTGTCCTTTTTTTAATCATTCATTGCTAGAGGGATTGAGGTTAAATGCAGGGAGGTTATGCTGCAGGTGTACAGGGTGCTAGTGAGGCCACACCTGAAATACTGCGTGCAGTTTTTGTCTCCTTATTTGAGAAAGGATGTACTGACACTGGATGGGGTGCAGAGGAGATTCACTAGGTTATTTCCAGAGTTGAGAGGGTTGGCTTATGAGGAGAGGCTGAATAGACTGGGATTATATTCAACAGAATTAAGAAGAATTAGAGGGGATCTTATAGAAACATATAAAATTATGAAGGGAATAGATAAGATAGAAGCAGGGAGGTTGTTTCCACTAGTGGGTGAAACCAGAACAAGAGGGTATAGTCTCAAAAGTAGGGGGACCAGATTTAGGACTGAATTGAACAGGAACTTCTTCACCCAAAGGGCTGTGAATCTGTGGAATTCCATGCCCAGTGAAATAGTTGAGGCTTCTTCATTGAATGTTCTTAAAGCTAAGATAGATAACCTTTTGAACAGTAAAGGAATTAATGGTCATAGCAAGAAGTTGGGTAAGTGGAACTGACGCCGTGGTCTTATTGAATGGCAGAGCAGGCTCGAAGGGCCAGATGGCCCACTCCTGCTCCTGATTCTTATGTTCTTATGTTGTTCTTATGTAAGATTATTGTAATGTGATTGTAAACATTAAATTTCTTAACTGAAAACAGTGTCATTTATGACTTCAGTGTGTCCTAAAATACTTCACTTGGAGAAGGCAATGGTATTGGTAATGTAATTGTATTGTTGTAATGTAATGTAATGTAATGAAAATGAGGTGTCATCCTGGTGAAGCTACGAAAGAAACAAGGTTAGTTGTGTGCCAAATTGTATGAACAACAATTGCTAGACAAAGCTAAGTGTTTGCCCAACCAATGAATCAGCTCTAAATATATATCCTTGCCACATGCTGGTATGAACTTTGGTGGAGAATGAAACAAATCACTGAAGGATGAGAAGGCTCCACCAATATCCCCATCCTTAATGATGGAGAATCCCAGCACATGAGTGTAAATGGTATTGTTGCTTATTTAGTTATCCAGAGAGCAAGGTGATGTTCTAGGGATCCAGTTTTGAATCCCACCATTGCAGATGGTGGAATTTCAATTCAGTAAAAATCTAGAATTAAAAGTCTAATGATGGCCGTGAAACCATTGTTGTAAAGACCCATCTGGTTCACTAAAAGTGCTATCCCCTTTCCTGGTCTGGCTTACATGTGACTTCAGACCTACAGCAATGTGGTTGACTCCTAACTGCCCTCTGAAATGGCCTAACAAGTCTTTCAGTTGTATAAACCATTTAAAATTTCTCAAAAAGGAACGAAACTGAATGGATCACCGTGACATCAACACAGGAATGAGAAAATGACAAACATAAATTCTGCCCTGTTGCCCCACAAAGTTGTCCCTTCAACAGAAGTGTCAAATATGGGAGAACTGTCTCGCAAGCTAGTCAAGCAACAGCCTAAAATATACTCATGGGATCCTGTCTTACTGACAAACTCCCAGGCAACATCATCACCATCACTAGATATGTCTTGTCCTACCAGCAGAACAGAACTAGCAGTGGCACACTAGTATGTAGCCAGGAGGGGGTTGCCCTGGGAGTCTCTAATGTTGATTCTGGATTCCATGAAGTCTGTTGCCATCAGGTCAAACATGTTTGAGGAAACATCCTGCTGATTATCACATACCATTCCACCTGGGTGAACAATCAGTATACCTCCACATTGAGAAGCATTGATAGTGTCAAGGGTACAGAACATACACCGCATGGGTATGAGCTGGTCTGAGCTGGACTGAGCTGGTTGAATCCTAATGGATCTAGATATTAGACTGGGTCTGTAGTGGATCGTGGAAACCAACAAGAGGGAAACACATACTTGATCTCATCCTCACCAATATGCCTACTACCTTAGCCACTTTACATGACAGTCTCAGTAAGAGTGGCCATCGCACAGTCCCTGTGGTGACAAAGTTTCACCTTTACACTGAGGATACCTTACATCGTGTTGTGTGGCACCATCCCTGTCCTAAATGGAAGAAACATCAAACAGATCTAACAACTGGTCATCCATGAAGCATTGTTGGCCATTAGTAGCAGCTGAATTGTAGTCCAATCTACAACCTCACAGTCCAGCATGTTCTCCACTCTACCGTTACCATCAAACCAGAGGATCAACCCTAGTTCAATGAAGAGTGCGGGAGGACATGACAGGAGTAGAAACAGATATACATGAAAATAAGGTGTCATCCTGGTGAAGCTACAAAAGAAAAACAAGGTTAATTGCGTGCCAAATTGTATGAACAACAATTGCTAGACAATTTGTTTGCCCAGCCAATGTATCAGCTCTAAACTATGCATTCTGGCCACATCCTGACATGAAGTGGTGGACAATGAAACAAATCACTGAAGGATGAGAAGGTTCCTCAAATATCCCCATCCTTAATGATGGAGGATCGCAGTACATGAGTGCAAAAGATAAGGTTCAAGAATTCTCAACAATCTTGAGTGAGAAATTCTGACTGTATGATCTATCTTGACCTCTTCAAGAGATTCCCAGCAACACAAATGCCAGTCTTCAGCATATCAGATTCATTCCACATGATATCAAGAATCAGCTGGAGGCAATAGATACTGTAAAATCTAAGATTCCTGACAACCTTCTGTCACACATGCTGAAGATGTGTGCTCTAGATTTTGCCATTTCCCAAACAATCTTGTTCTGATACAGCTTCAACATTGACATCTATCCAGAATGTGGAAAACTGCACAGGTATGCCATCTGAAAAAAGCAGGACAAATCCAACCAGACCAATGACTGCTTCATCAGTCTACTCTCAGTCAGCAGTGAAGTGATGGAAGGTGTCATCAACAGTGCTACCAAGCAGCACTTGCTTTGCCATAACCTATTCACTGATGTTCAGTTTGGTTCTGCCAGGACCACTTAGCTCCAGACCTCATTACAGCCTTGGTTTGAGCATGGACAAAAGTGCTGAATTCCTGAGGTAAGATGACAGTGCTAACCCTTGACATGAAGGTTGCAAGAGTGGCATCAATGATCCCAAGCAAAACTGGAGTCATTGGAATCAGGAGACAAAGTCTCCACTGGTTGGAGTCACACCTTGCACAAAGGAAGCCAGTTGTGGTCGTTTAAGGTCAGTCATCTTAGCTCCTGGATATATCTGCAGGAGTTTCTTAGGGTAGTGTCCTAGGACTAACCATCTTCAGCCACTTGATCAATGATCTTCCCTCTATTATAAAAGCAACTGTGTAGCCAAATTCCAAACTAGCGCCATCTACAAGTTCACTGATGATACCACCGTAGTGGGACAGATATCTAACAACGATGCATCAAAATACAGAAGGGACATAGACAACTTGGTGACATGGTGCAATGAAAACAATCTGTCTCTCAATGTCAGCAAAACTAAAGAACTGATCATCAACTTCAGAAAGTAAGGAGGAGAACACGCCCCCATCTACATCAATGGAACTGAGGTTGAGAGAGTAAAGAGCATCAAGTTCCTTGGAGTGACGATAATCGGCGACCTGTACTGGACTTCCCATGTAAATGTGACAGTCAAGAAGGCACAAGGCCTCTTCTTCCTCAGGTGGTTCAGGAAATTTGGCATGTCAATAAGGTCCCTCACCAACTTCTACAGATGCACCATTGAAAGCATACTGTTTGGTTGCATAACAGCCTGGTATGGCAACTGCTCTGTCCAGGACCATAAGAAACTATAGAAGGTGGTGTGCACAGCCCAGGCCATCATAAAAGCTAACCTTTCATCCATGGACCTCTGTTTACACGGCTTGCTGCCGCAGAAGGGATGCCAACATCATCAAAGACCCATTGCACTCTGGTAATGACCTCCTACAACCTCTTCCGTCAGGCAGAAGATACAGAAGCCTGAAGACACGCACAAGCAGGTTCAGGAACAGCTTCTTTCCGGCCATTATCAGACTGTTGAATAGATTCTAGCCTCAAATAATGTAACCTGAAATGTAACCTGTATGCCTTTTGATCTGTACATCCTTTGCTTGCTGTGATCTGCCTGTATCACTCGTAAACAAAGCTTTTCACTGTGTTTTAGTATATGTGACAATAAAATCAATCAATCAATCG